AGCAGGCGGAAGCAAAGGCAAGGGCAAGGGTAAGGCCAAGGCCGTCGGTAAGGACGCTCGTGTCCCGACTGGCGACGCCGCGGCCAGCGCTGAGGCGCCAGCTCAGGCCCAGCCCAGCTCGGGTTTCAGCGAGGCGGATGTCGCCTCCTTCCTGGAGCACCTGGCGTCCAAGGGCGTGGTCGTGGCCGAGGAGGACCGCGCCAAGCTGGCCCCGCCCAAGGAGGCGCCGCGCGCGCCAAAGCCGAAGACCTACTCCGACGTCCTGCAGAACTGCATCTGGCGCATGCAGAAGCTGGACAAGCAGGCGGCGGCGAGGGCGGCGGAGCATGTCGAGGCCACCGAGCGAGTGCGGCTTGCGAAAGCCGCGCTGGACGAGGCGGCTGTGGCGCTGGACGTGGCCCGCAAGCGCCAGGCGGAGGGCCGCGAGCAGCTGGAGCTGGCCAAGCAGATGGAGAAGACGGGGCTACCGCCTGGCTGCAGCTCGGCCCGCGCTGCCGAGCTGGCCAAGGCGGTCACTAGCCTCGAGGCGCGGGGCTCGCTCGATGGCTACGGTGCCGACGCAGGGACCATCGAGGCCGCGCGAGGCGCCCTGCAGCGCAAGGTCGACGCCATCCGTGCCGAGCTTGCGTCAGCTGAGTGCAAGGCGGACGAGGACGAGCCCATGGGCACGGGCGACGCGTCTGCTGCTGGTGCTGCTGCTGATGCTCGTGCAGACGGCGAGCGGGGCCAGGCCACAGGCGCGGCAGCAGCAGAAGAAGGGTGCGGCCACACCTTCTTCGACCAGGTGGACAAGCTCGAGGGCGAGAACCGCCGCAAGTTCGAGGAGGCGTGCCAGGCCGTCGGCCTCGACTTCCCCGAGGCCAAGCGCGCCCGCGGCGACGGTGGAGGCCAGGCGGCGGCTGGCGCTGACCAGGCGTGAGGAGGGCGCCTGGCGGCTGGACACGGCCAACACCACGGCGCGCGGCAGCATGATGCGATGGCTGCAGCAGGACGCCACGGCCGACGTGGTCTTCTTGCAGGAGGTGGGCGTGGCCCCAGGAGCGGCGGCGGAGGTCGAGCAGGCCTGCCGCCGAGAGGGCTGGAAGGTAGCCTTCAACGAGTCGGTGCGCACCGACAAGGGCGGCCTCTCCAGCGGCGTGGGCGTCGGCGTCCGTGCCCGCATCGGCATGGGCCAGGCTCCCAAGGGGCCCAAGCTGCCCAAGGACCGCGTGATTGCGCGCTGGGTCAACTGCGGAGTGCCTGGCGGCTTCCTGGCAGTGTCGGTGTACCTGGTGGCGGCCAAGGGCCTCGACGCGGAGTCGAAGCTCATCCTGGGGCAGCTGGGTGAGTACTTGGCCTACGTGCAGGTGCCCTACGTCATCGGAGGTGACTGGAACTGCAAGCCCCAGGAGCTGGAGGCGTGGGGCTGGCCCCAGGAGGTCGACGGCATGGTGGTGGCGCCGGGCGCGCCGACCTGCCGCGTCGGCTCGGGCTCGGAGATCGACTACTTCGTGGTGTCGAGCGGCCTGGGCGGCAAGGTCAAGGGCTGCAGCAGGCTGGACACGGCCTTGGCGCCCCACTGGCCCGTGCGCTTGCAGCTGAGCGTGAGGGGGCTCCCCGAGCGCAGGCTGGTGCACAAGGCGGCGCGCACGCTGCCAGCGCAGCGGCCAGTGGGCCCACGGCGCGAGCCGCCAGACTGGGCGCCCTTTCTGGGGCTGGCGCGGGCGGTGCTGGCCAGGCTGGGGGTCGCCGTTCAGAGGCCTGTAGCTGCGGAGACCACCTCGAGTCCGACTGGGGCTTGGACTGGGAGTTCGGCAACTCCTTCTCGGCCGCCAGACTCACCCCACGCCTCATCCGCTGGGGTCGCCGACCCCAGCGCGGTGGCTAGGGCAGAGGGCGCCACATGCTCCGCGACTGGGGCTACCTCAGGTGCTGCGAGTACGAGGCTCCCAGGAGCGGAGGCGCTGGGCGAGCCATCGGCGCCTGGTTGGAGGCTTGACAGCGTCCTGGGGCCAGGCTACCAGTTGCCCGTCAGCACCCACGCGGAGTCGCTGAAGCACTTCAGGGCTGGTTACGACGCGGGCTGGACGGACGCAGCGTTCGGCCTGTACGGCGACACGGTGGAGGACCCAGTCAAGGTGGACTCAACGGAGGAGGAGGCTCTTCCCCGCATCAGTGAGGATTCTGAACCGTCATCGGCACCACCATCAGAGGAGCGATGCCAGCAGGGAGAGCTGAACCCTATAGCTGACGCTAAGCATGTGGGGAATCCTAGGGGCCCTCTGAGGCCAACAGGTGAACCCACTGGCTCAGCGTCGTCGCATCAGGCACCCAGCGGAGGCGCAGCTTCCGTGACGCTGGACGTGGCGGCGCTGGAGCCGCAGGGGATGGTGGACTTGCTCTACGGCGAGTTTGCCACGTTGATGGAGGCCGACCTGCTCGGCCTGTACCACGTGCCGCCGACCGACGCCCACCTGTACGTCGGGCGCGCGGCGGACCCGAAGTTCGTGGAGAGGGACGT